GTGTGTGTGTGTGTGTGTGTGTGATTATTCGGATTTTTGTGACTTCAAACTGTTTATGTAGAAACTTTATAGACTATAGTCTCATAGAAATAACCTAGGGTTTCTTAAAAGTTATGATGTAACTGATCAAGAAGTGCTTTTGGACAAACTTTAGAAAAAACTAACCATATTTAATCTATGATTAAAATGATCATCAATCTCCATAAACAAAATAAGAGAGCTACGTCATAAACATAATAGTGGCCTTCCAATCGTTAGGTTAAGGAGGCGATAAAGAAAATATCTGCTTTTCCTTTGTGGGATAAGAACAACTTGTAGATGTGATTAAAATATTCCAGCTATAGGGAAATGCTTATGCTGCGCCACTTCTAATGTTAATGTTCTGCTCATGTTATTTAATTTTCAAATTAAAAGAAAAAGATTTCTGGTAGTTACTAAAATCATCCACATTCTATAGATGGGAAAATGTAGGCCAAAAGAGTCTAAGCAACTTACCTGAAGTAAAGCAACTTTTACAAAGTTGAGAAGCCATAATTTACACCTAGGCTATCAACTTGCAGATACTGTATAATGAACCACTGCACATACTGACTCGCATAGACATCTCTTTGCAGTTCCTTTGGAAGGGCACAGCCAAGAGCGGAATCGAGAAAGATTGCTTGTAAATGTCAGAAGGAGCTGGATGCAGGCCAAAAATTAGGGGTGGGCCTACAGGAGTTCTCTCCTTCAACTTAACAGATAAGACCTGCCATTGTGGAAAGAAGAAAGGAGCTCAAAACGGAAATCTCATTGTAATGTCCTATCGCCTAAGTTTCCCACATCAGGTTATCCTTAGGAAGGCACTCAGCTTCACCTTTTGGGAAAATTAAACTTGCAGGTGTTCTGAATGAAGCCATAGCAGCAAGGGCACGCGACAAAGGAAGCTCGCATTTGGATGCAGTGCTCGATCACCATGTCTGTTGCCACTCCACAAGCATGCAACGCCACCTGGGGAAAAGCAACAGGAACAGAACAAAACCAGCTCAGCACAAAGGTTATTCTCCACTACCAGTGCTATCTACTGTTTTTCTTTTCTTTTTTTAAAATCATTTTATTGGGGCTCATACAATTCATCACAATATATAGATCAATTGTGTAAAGCAGACTTATACATTTGTTGCCCTCATAATTCTCAAAATTCGCTTTCCTCTTG